TATTTTAAAAATTACATTTGTCTATCAGAAAGGTATGCACATGTGTTTTATATATCCATTTATATTACACACATATATGTAATATAAATGCAGAAAATTTGGAAATTATGGAAGCATAGGATGAAGGAGAAAATTCTTCTAAATAGCTTTCAACAATTGGCACAATCATTAACAATTGTTTCTGTGATTTTTCCATATATAAATTTTTTCACCTCTTGAGGGTTCCAAGGGAATGAGAATAATATGTGTCATAATGTATATGTGTATTTATGTTGCTTTCCTTTGATATTTTATTGAAAGTATTGTTATATACTGCTTATGCATTATTCCTTTTAATTATTTTCAGTCTTTAAAATATTATTATCTGGCATTTAGATATTTACAGCTTCATGATACTATAAATGACTTAGTGTACACTTTTGTCTATAAAGTTTTCCCTCCTTTCTTTCTAGTTTTTATTAGCTATGTTCTCAGAAATAGGAATTCTAGAAGCCTTAAGAAAGATTTTTGAGATTCTTTACGTGTCTATATGTTTAACTGTATCAATTTATAATGGGTACAGGTGCCTGTTACTGAATATTCACTAATACTTGTGATTTACTGAACTAAGGAACCACCGATTTAAGCTGGAAACTTTGTTTTTCATTGTGTTTGCCCCAAATGTGAGAGGCAAGCCAAATCAGTGAGTCCCGCTGGCACAAGAAACACTGTGGAACTGAAGTTCTGTCTTGGAGTGAGGTCAGGCTCATGAGTTAAATGTCAGACACCGATTCAAGGGAGCCCAGATGGACCACAGGGACAGGGTGTGGAGCTTCAAAGAGTGGAGCGGAAGCACATGGGCCAAAGGCAGTAACCTGTTGTAATTTCCAAGAAGGGTAGACACTGGTGTTGTGTGTAGCTCTCTGTGAGCAGGGATAGCCTGCTATGGGAGGGACTTTGGAATTTTGTTTGGGAGGAGACTTGCCAGCATTGTTTGTGTCCTGTTTTAAACTATTTGGAAAAAAAACATCCTCTTGCCATTTGCATATATTTTTATTGAAAAATTAGTTTTTTGAAAGAAAGAAAATTGTTTATCTTTGATTACTAATATAGTCATATATGTTCACATTGTTTGGTTTTATTTTATTGATGTGCTAGGTCAGAAGTTTGTGCAATTGGACAGAAGTTTGTGGTAAGAGAATTCATATAATTTTCATATTTTGACTATTTCATTATTGATTAAAAATTTTTATTGTAATCTTATTTGGGTTTTTTCCTAGATGATTTCCCCACGTCATTATTAGGTATTGCGGTTTCAGGTCTCAGTTGCTTCCTCAGTTTGAGAATTATTGATTGCCCCCAAAACTTGAACGTACTTCATTTTTTTCCTACTTTTTTCATTTATTGGTTTTCTGGTGTATGGTTAAGTTTTCTTTAATGTGACTGAAAAACTGATTTTGAGTAAGTTAAACCCAAATTGAGAGTTAAATTCTGAAAATATTATCTCCTACTTCCAAAAAATTATTTGATTGACAAAGATAGAAGATAATGAGTTCCCATCAGCTGATTCATTCCCCAAACAACTGGAAAAACTGATGCTGGACCATGGCCGAGAGAGCCAATAACTGAATGTGGACCTCCCCATCAATGGCAGGAGCCCAGTCAGTTTGTTGAGCTGAGATGCTCCTATCCCTTACCTTCTGACGTAAGAAAACTACCATGAGGATGGATCTGAGGATAAGTTGGGACTTGTTCAAATCTGTGAGGCCATTCATTTGTGAATATAGGGTACGTGGTGAATGTATTTCTGAGAGAATGATGTGGGAAGATGAAGGGGTTCATGAGCTGCAAGCGTCTGTCACGCCCAGCAGCCTGAGATAGGGGGAGCAAAGTAAGGAATTCTGGATTTCCGTTGTGCATGAGTTAATTATGACTTCAGAGAGGCAGGTGCCAATTCTGTGGTTGAAAACTGGTATTTTACTGAATTAAAGTGAGAAAATTGGCAAATTGACTTTCTACAATGTTTAGTTTTTAATCATACTTGATTATCAACAGTTAGCTAACTTCTTGATATAGTTAGTTCTTGAAAAGAACCAGCATAAAGTCTTGCCCAAACTATTTTTAGTGAGAATAAATGATATATAAAATGTAAAACAGTACATTCTTTTTCTTCTGACTGTTTTCTTTGTTTCTTTTTCTTCTGACAGTTTTCTTGTTGTTTCTTAATATATGATTTTAACTTCTTCATGTTTGGAATCCCAATTCTATTCTGTTAGTGTATTATTGGACCTATGACTACACTTTTTGACCATCGTAATTTTAGATTTTTCTCTCCATACATTAACCAAGTTAAGTAGAATAAGAATTCTGAGTAGAAAGGTACACTTATTATTTTTTTCTTTTTTGAAAAGGAGCTTACCAATTTATGTCTTCCCATCTTCCTTCTGTGAAGGAGCTTTGGATGTTTTCCTGTATATCCTGCTCCAGAGAGTGGAAGCTCAGATATCCTGTATTATTCAGATAGATTTTTAAAATAAGTCCTTATTTAGGAAGTAACCTGTTTTAAACCTTATATATTTTGGGTTCTTCCCCTTTCTAAGTAAATTGACTCAAAGTACCCACTACCTGATGACTGGAAATGGTCATGTTGTAGTACTAGAAGATCTTTGTTTGGGGTAGTGTATCTTAACCTCCCTTGACGAGGACGTTTCCCAGTTAAGTGTGCCTTGACCAGCCACGAAAGTCAAATACATTGGCATGTATTGAGAGATCGTGTTCTAATAGAAAGAGGCTGGTTGGCACACTTTACTAAGCGTTTAACAATTAGGCTGAATCACTTGAAATCAACTCAAATTGGTAAAAGATGTTTGCCAGCTTACATATTTTCATAATTTATTTTTTAATGTGTGGATATAAGCTTGTAGCTTGCCAAGCAGCTGAAGAGAAATGGTAAAAATAAAAAATTGATGCAACTAAAAGCTTTTTCTTTTTGTCCCAGCACTGACACAGGACTGGAAAGGAATACTTGACCAAGAAATGGTGTGTTGTCTGTCTTCCTATTTATAAGTGTTTAATGATGATATGTAAAGGAAATGCATTACAAAGTATGTAATGATTTCTTAAGGTTCTGTCTATATCCTGTTGATACTTTGAATGTTTTCTTGAGGAGCTCAAAAGGAATTTCAGGCTGTTGTGGTAAGATTTTTTCAGGGAGGACTTTGTATGCTTCCTAGCAGATTGTTTTTCTATCAAGGAACTTGTTTCATTCATTGTTTGATGATGCTGAAGTCTTCCCTTTCTGTGAACCTCCCTGAAGAAGAATTATTCCTGTCAAACAGGAGGACTTAATGCTTTCACCATTGTCATTTAGTCCTTGTGAGCTGTGTGGGCAGGAGGATGGCTCAGCTGGCATTGATATGTACCATGCACCATAATGGTATCAATGATTTGATGTCAGGAACAGATAGTGTTGCTTCACCAGCCTTGACAGTCGAAGATTTTCCTTTGCTGCAACCTCTTAGAAGAACACTGCATCCAGAGGTTTTGGTCTTTGTCTTTCTCTGTCTCTCTTTTTTCTTTTTTCTTCCCTTCCTTCTCCCTCTATTTTGCCCTCCCTTCCTTCCTTCCTTCCTTCCTTCCTTCCTTCCTTCCTTCCTTCCTTCCTTCCTTCCTTCCTTCCTTCCTTCCTTCCTTTTTTTACAAAAAAAGTATTCATTTTTACTGGAAAGGCAGATATACAGAGAGAAGAAGATACAGAGAGTAGGAGATACAGAGAGTAAGATCTTCCCTCTGCTTGTTCACTCCCAGGTGGCCACAACAGCCAGAGCTGAGCTGATTCAAAGCTAGCAGCCAGGAGCTTCTTCTGGTCTCCCACACGGGCACAGGGTCCCTAGGCTTTGGGCCATTACCTACTGCTTTCCCAGGCCACAACTGGAAGGAAAGTGGAGAGCCTGGATTAGAACTGGTGCCTGTATGGGATCCCGGTACATGCAAGGTGAGGATTTAGCACTGGAGTACCGCACTGGGCCCGGTCTCGTTGTTTTTTAACACATGAAGGTGTTGCTACAGAGACTGAACACTTTGGTGATCATACTGGTGACTTTAACACTGTATTCCATTGCAGATCATGTGCTGTAATGTTGTTCTTTCATTTCTGTACAGTTTGAAACACCAACAGATTTTAGTGATTCCACCTTGTAGATTGTTTCCTTTGTAAATGTCTCAGCCAGTTCTTCCAGTTCCTTATTGCTAACATTTATCAATAGTTAGTTGACTTTGGGATAACCAAAACCTCAGAAAATAAAACTGCAGATGGAGGGGCCCACTATATTCTTCTTCACTGTACTTTTTACCTGATATATTTATTTGTTTACTGTTTATTGCCATCCATTCAAATCTGAGTGCTAGAGAGCACAGCCTTGTGTTGTTTTCCTCACTGTTTAGTACAGTGGCAGGTGTGTAACAGGCATGGAGAAGTATTTGTTGAATGAATGGATGGGCGCTTACCTTCTTCGTCTCTACTCCTTTTTCAGGCCTCGTTATCATCACTGTGCTGTAGTTCTGTGAGACTCCAGTGTTGTGGAGCATTTATTTTTATCTGGTAATTCAGATGCAGATGGTCTGGGGAACTAAATTGAATTACTATCACACATAATGCTGAATTTAGGTACAGAATGAAAATAAATCAAAATTATTAAAGAATCAGAAACAAATTAAAGCTTCCTAGGCTAAAATTATGGCCTTCTAGAATATTTAGGTATCTTGTTTTGTTACTACACTGCTTTACAGTTATTTCTGCTTATTCATGATGGAATTCCTTCTTGAGTTTTTTGCAAGGATATTTCAGAGGCAGAAGATATCACACAGATCAAAAGCACCTTCTCGGTTCTTCTCTAAGTCCATGGCAGTTAGTTGGTTCATCTTAGATTTGTATCATTCTTCTTCATATAGATGTATGAGTACAATTGTAGATTTGGATGAATATTCCTTATGAATTCATCTTTTATTTATGATTTTTGCAGAATCTTGCCTCCTGGAATCCTTCAAATCCTGAATGTCTCCTACTGGTGGTGAAGGAACTTGTGCAACAGTATCATCAGTTTCAATGCAGCCGCCTCCGCGAGAGCTCCCGCCTCATGTTTGAATACCAGACGTTACTGGAAGAGCCACAGTATGGAGAGAACATGGAAATTTATGCTGGGAAAAAAAACAACTGGGTAAGGTTTTTAGAGAGTAGGAATAAAAGTCACTTTATCTGTAATGAAATAAGGTATTTAGTTCAACTGTCCATAGGTAGTCAGCCATAGTCATTCTTTCAAATGAGCAAAGTGGAGACAGTGTTGTAACACAGTTGGTGAAGCTATTGCTTGCAATGTTGACATTCCCTGTAGATATTGGTTTGTGAGCTGGCTCCTTGCCAATGACCTGGAGAAAACAGTGAAAGATAGCCAAAGTGTTTGGGCTCTTACGACTCACGTGGGAGATTTGGATGAAGCTTTTGGCTCCTGCATTTAGACTCATCTGCTGCTGGCTGCTGTGACCATCTAGGGAGTGTGCCACCAGATGGAAGAGATCTCTTTATCTGTCTGTGCTCCTCTCCTTGCAGTTCTTTTTTTTTCATTTTAAAGACTTATTTATGTATTTATTTGAAAGTCAGATACACACACACATGCAATGAAAAAGAGAGAAAAAGAGAGACACCAAGACCGAGACCTATGCACTGTCCACTGGTTCACTTGCCAACATTGTCCAAACATTGGGCCTTTATTTGCTGTCTTCCCAGATATATTAGCAGGAAGCTGAATGGAAAGAGGAACAGTTGGTACTCCAACTGGCACTCCATCAGACCGGTGCTCCAACATGGGCTGTTGTTACACAAGGCACAGCTTAACCTGATATGCTACAATGCCAGCACACTGGCATCCCCTTAAGCATACCACGTAATAACAAATAAATATTACTGTGAAATAATCATTGCAGAACTCAGTGAGTTCTTGTCTTGGCTGTTGTCTGCTTCAGGGTCTATCCCAGGCTGTACTGATGATGCTGTCCAGGGCTGCAGTCACCTCCAGGCTTGACTGGAAATGGATTCAATCTGAATTCGTTCATCTGGTTGTTGACAACACCCAGTTCTTTGTTGGCTATTGAACTGAGGGCCAGTTTTTAGATCTGGCTGTTGTTGTTGGGAGGGCACTAGTTCCTTACCACTCTACAGGGCTGAGTACAGAATAGTTCATAGATTGGTAACTGGCTCCAGAGTGAGCATGACAAAAGTCACCACCTTTTATAGTATTAGAAATGTGATGGCATGGCATCACTTATGCTGTATTCTGTTTGTTAGGTCTAGCACAGGCATAGGGAGTAATTAAAGAGTATGAATGCAAGTGATCCCTGGAAGCCACTTAGCAGGAGCCCATCACATTTACTTACTCAGTTTATTGGTCATCTGTCTGTCTCAGTCAGCATGTAAAGGCTGAGATAGTTATTTTGCTTACTGACACATCCCACGCACCTGGAACAGGGCCTGCCACATACTTCATACTTCTTCGATTTTCTTAGGAGCATTTGGATGAATGAATAAATTCCTGGTAAGCACAGAATAAGTTCACTTTTCTGCATGTTAGGGCCAGTGCCTGTGAATCAGCATGATTTAAAATTTATTCTTGCTGCAAATCAGCCTGTTTAAGATATTTTTCTTTTGTGAATTTATCTTGTAGTAAAAGACACATAACATTAAATTTACTATCTTTACTGTTTTGAAGGGCACACTTCAGTAGGGTTGGCTGTGTTGATGTGAGTTGTATAAAAGATGCCTGGACCTTTCTCATATGGGAAAGCCCACACCCATTATAGCTTTTGTTCCGATGCTTTTGGCTCCTGTAGATACTTAATGTTAGTGGAATCATATAGTATTTGTTCTTTTGTGATTGGCTTATTTTACTTACTGTTATGCCCTTAAAAAAATATTTATTTGAAAGGCAGAATGACATAGATTGGGAGTTAGAGATTGATTTTCCGTTACTAATTCAGTCTCCAAATAGCTGCAACAGCCAGGTCTGGGCCAAGGCAAAACTAGGATCCACGAAATCCATCCTGATCTTCAACATGGATAGCAGGGTCCCAAGTACCTGGACTATCTTATGCTATCTTCCCAGTTGCATCAATAGGAAGCTGAATAGGAAATGAAACAGTCAGCACTCCTACCCACACTCTGATACAGCCAGTTGGCATTGCAGTCAGTGCCTTGACCTTCTGTGCCATCACGTCAGCCCCGCCAGCATGCCTCTGAGGTTCATCCATGTTGTAGTAGATGTGATTTTCTTCCTTTTTAAGACTTCATAATATTATGTCACACACATACAAACAAACACACACACTCTGCATTTTATTTATCCATTAATTCAGTAATATCAGTTCTGTCTTTTTGTACATAATGCTGTAGTGAGCGTAGTATGTAAATATGTGTTTGTGATCCTGTTTGCGTTATATATAATACACATACATACACATATCTCCCTGGATATCTGAAAGTGAGATTGCTAGATCATTTGGTAATACTATTTTTAAATTTTAATGGACTTTCCATGCTGTTTTCCATAATAGCTATACTGTTTTTACATCCCCATGAGTTCAAAGATCACAGTTCAAAGTTTTAAATCGTTGATTACTGGGACTGGTGTTGTAGTATAGCAAGTTAAGCTTCTGCCTGCAACACTGACTTTCCATATGGGCATTGGTTTGATTCCCAGCTGCTCCATTTTCGATCCATTTCCATCTCCCTGCTACTGTTCTTGGGCCTAGCTCCAGCATTTGTGGTGGTTTGGGAAGATTTTGTCTGCTTCAGGGTCTCTCCCAGGCTACGCTCATCCGACTGGCTCTGTGGGAAGTAAGCCAGGGGATGGACTGCTTGTCTCTTTTTGTGTCTCGTCCTCTCTGGCTGTACCTTTGCTTTTCAAATAAATGAACCTTTAAAAGAAAAAAAAAAAAAGAATGGTTTTCCAACTTATTTTTCTTTGGTTTTCATTTTAATAGCATCACTGTCTTTTTAATCCAATCTAATTTTTTTAAATTTATTTTTTTAAAAATAATTGTTACATGAGTGATCAGGGTGGGAATGGTCAAAGTTTAGGGAAAATTGGGTGAATTCATTTCTTCCAAATTTGCCATTTCTTGTTGTTCCTGGAGGGAGGGGAGAAACAAAGGGGAAAACCACTCATGACTTTCCACACATACCAGTACCCAGGGATGAGGAACCGCCACCTCATATCAACCCAGCAAATAATTTTGGTGAATGGAGCCAATGGACATTGGGAGGGTAACATCATCCTTGGATTGGTGAAATCAGCATTTCAGAACTATCCAAGCCACTTGGACAGAACCCTTGGGATATGTACACATTGAGACTCTGGGTTAATACAATCTAATTTTATGACAACTTTCATGATCTAAGATTTTTGAGAATTTTATTTGTAAGTTTATCTAATATTTGACTTTAATGTTGAAGTTGAAATTAAAGCAGATAGATTATTTATATTTGTAATATTTTGCAAACTTTAATGTTTTGCATCTCTTCTTTATTTACAAAGTGTATTGCTAATATACCTGCCTAGTTTATTTTTATTTGTTACTAAGTAGTTTGTGATTAAGGCAGTGGTATGGATTCAGAGGAAATACAGAAACTGAGAACCTTGTAACAAAGCATGGTAGATGGATTTGAAGCTTAGAGCAGAGCAGGCCTCGGGAGGGCTTTGGAAATCCTCAGGAGGGAAGGGAATATCTGGAGATGAACAGATTAGAGCTTGATGGGGCTGGGTACAAGTTTTTGAGTTGCACTATTGATACCAGCGCCATTTACTGACAGCTGGTTTCAGTCTGGTCCCACTCTGCTCACTTGCCTGGGATAACAGAGGCTATCTCACATGTTTCGGCCCCTGTTACTCAGTACAGCTGAACTGGATGGAGTTCTGGGATCCTAGCTTTGGCTTGGACCATCTTTCCTGGTGACAGCCATTTGGGAAGTCAGTCAATAGGTGCAGGATTCTCTCTGTCTCTTACTCTGCCTTTTAAACGAATACTAGAATCTTAAAAAAAAAAAAATTAGAGATTAGCATCAGGGTTCCAGAATACATTAGAGGGCTGCCTGAGAAGGGAATCTGTTCAGACCAAGAATCTGGACGACGAACTAAAGGCTCTGGCAGAAAGAAAGGAACTTGATTTGCGGTCAGGTTGGTTGGTTGGTTTGTTTTAAATAAGGGACTGTATTCTGTAGTAAGTAGAAATGTGTGGGGACTTACAATGCATTACAAACATTGGAAAAGAAGGCAGTATTCAGGTGGAACAACAGTTGAGTAACCAGGAAGTGATCATGATGAATTTATCTTACTCTTTGAAGGAAGGTGAATATCACAGGCTTAGATATACACCAATAGAGCATTTGTTTTCTTTCCCTTACTGTTCCACTGGCCGTGCGTTCCTTTCTTAATCATTCGACTCAGTGAGGAGCTACACCTAAATAATTGCCTGTAGCCTGTCAGCTTTCAGAGCTCTGGTGCAATATCTCAGCGCATTTCCTTTGACCTTGTCCCGTTTATTATTTTGTTTGGGACTCGAGTGAAGTCGTATAAGGACTGTGCTTCAGTTTTGCTGGGTGCACGACAGTTATTGGGGCCAGCACTCTGGCACTGTGGTGTAGCGGGGAAGGCCAAGCCAACTGTGTTGACATACATATGAGCACAAATTCAAGGCTTCACTGCTCTCATTTCCGATCCTGCTATCTGCTAATGTGCCCGGGAAAGGCAGTGAAGGAATCCAAGTGCTCGAGTTCTTATTTCTACTTGTGATGTCTGGAAGAAGTTCTGGCATCCTGGCCCAGCTCCAGTCATTGTAGTTATCTGAGGAATGAACCAGTGAATGGAAGATCTCTCTCTCTGTGTAACTCAGCTTTTAAAATAAATAAATAAGTCTTTTTTTTTTTTGAAGAAAAGACAACTATTAAGAAATGTTACAAAATCAATACTTAAAAAATTTTTTTATATACTAGATTGCTGCACCAAGCTAGTAAATTGCAATTCAGTGGGGGCTAAGACAGGGTAGGACTAGTGTTCATTTATGAAAAGTCTGCTACACTAGATATTTCAGGTATAGTTTTTTATCCTCAGAGTATTAAAATTTAGTAGAGAAATCTCAATCCATTTTCATAAAAATTAAGTCGCAGTGT